AGCTGCTGTTGTTGTTGGTTAAGATGCAGGCCTACCAGTTCGCCGTCACTAGATGAAGAATAAGCCACAGAAGTCAGGCCACCACCGCCTCCACCTCCCCCGCGGCGCCGGGGGTGTAATTGTCCAGGGGGATGCTCTTGTATAGGCGTCGTGTTGGTGCCGGGGTTGAAATGTTAATGAGAGTCCAAGAATTGCCTCGGCAATAACTGTTCTTCACAAGCAAATCTTTGGATTTCTTTTAAATTCAGATGTAAAATAATTTTCGGGATTTGTCTTCAGTTTGTGCGCCCTTTTCTGGGTTAGTGCGCTGGGAGGAAGATTTGCCTCCCTACAGAAGTACTTTCTGGAACTGAGGCAATCGACTCGATGTCTCTTCAGCATACAATATATTTCGGGGGGTACAACAAACCCCCCTGTCTTTCGTCACAGTCAGTACACTGATCAGGTTGCAGAATTGTTAGCGATGTCTGTCACTTCAGAAATGCAGATAATCCTTTGCACGTTTAAGACACAGTGAATAAACCTTTTAAAGAATATTTTATATCCAGCTTGTTGCCAATAAGTCGCCTGAGAATGCTTTAATACCTTTCAGTAGACCATTAAAAGTTATGACGTTCTAATAGCTCGTTTCGTTGTGATTAGCCTATAGTTCTCATACACTCGTTCTGTGTTATATTTAACATTCAACAGTTGCTTTCCAAGGACCAGAAATTAGGGTTCGGTGTGTTTTATTCCCAGAATATGGCTTCAGATTATTTTTTTCGACACAATAATCGCTTCCAAGTAGCGCTACTTAAACGAAATAACGCTGCTACGAGTATTTTTTCAAATTTGGAGTTTTAAATTTCAGCAGCCTTACGAAAGGGGTAAGCTGATTTTTCACAATAAACGGAAAGCAACGGAAATATAGTCAAATACTGCATGTGCCCAAGTGTAAACAAGTTAACACGTGGTCTGTGCAGTTTATCTCTTGTTCCTCAGCTGTGGCCACATCCGAAATTCCAAGTTATCTACCTCCAGTTAGGTTTACAACAATGTTCTGTACGTCGGCCTATTCCTAATGTCGTCCCCTGGTGGTGTCCTGGATTGTTGTCTTGGAACAGCTGTCGCCGCCACAACTACACTCGTGTTACACCAATCCACTGGGTTGTTGTCAGAAAGCACTTCACGTTTTTCGCACACTGATGCCGAGTTTCACAGAAATATACACGCTTGGAAAATATCAATTCAGTAAAGAAAAATTTCCTCACTCCTTTTTGCTTTTCAGTCTCTTTTTTTTTATCAGAGACGGGGGGGAGGGGGGTGCCGTGCGCGAGATATCGGGTGTAGAAACCTTTCGCACTTGAATCTGCGCGACCACTGAATGGCCTACAACACTTCTGCTTCTGCGCCGTCTCGACGCGCCGCACCGCGGATACGGTCACGTGACTGGTTTGCGCATTGGTTAATTCATATGTCTACAGGCCGGTGGGGGGACTGGTGCTAGCCACGCCCATTTTGAAACTTAGCAGGTTAGTAGTACGACATGCGCAAGCGCCTCCTACTTCATCGCCATGGCAACCGCCCAATTGTGCCCCTATTGGTTTGTAGGCGGTAACTGGATTCTGATCCGTATAGACAAGAGATGAGATGATGAAAACAGAAGAAGTACGTAAGGGGGGAAGAAGAAAATGAGCGTAAACATTAGGAAGGGAACTTTAAAAGAAAAAAAAAGCATAAGGGTGCTACTGCGGCAGAGGGGATTCTTTTTCTTTTCGTCTTGTTTCGTTTCTCTTTCTTTTTTCATCCTTCCATTGCACGAATCGTGCGATTCGTCAATAAAATTCTGCCACCAACACCACCACAGCAGCAACAGCAGCCAGCGAGTCTGAATATTCTCCTTTGCTTTTGGCGTATTCAAAAAATAACGAACCAATGCTTCTCTGATATTTGTATTTCTTCTTCTGTGTCATTAAATCTGAGGATTGTACGTCCAGTCCATGAGAATAAAGCGTCCAGCTACAAAACCGAGCAGAATCGAAGGTTAATTTTATTTCGGGTGGAATCTCTTTAAGAATCAATTAATAAAATCTGTATTTAAATAATCTTATACGTAAGTTATTTACAAATTAACTATCAATTGTCCTTGTATTACATATTGTCAGAGGGAAAATAATTTCATTTCGCACGGAGTGTTTCGAAAACCGATTAATAAAACCGTATTCTGTTAGCCTTCACAGGGTGTTCAGCAGATAGACGTTCTAATATAAACTGCGCTTCTAGCACAAACTCTGATCCCTTTATCATCCGATATTTTTCGAGATACGTTTTGTCAGAAAGAAAGGTTTCTTTGTTGCCCCAGAAATTTCAGGGAATGGTGTGAACGTGGCCAATCAACAAATGTTGCACGGTGCACTCCTTTTAAGATATGCGAGCGCCTATTTACTATTAATTACAAATATGGAGACTGTGCGAAACGTTGATATTATCGTAGGCTACGAAGGGGCACAAAATATTAAGCCCGGGTGTTTCTGACGCTCTAGCGTGAACGAAAAAGAACACCTTGTGGACCGGTCCATGTCTATCGCTCTGTCTGCCGCTAGCCGAACAAAGGTTTTGCCAGGCTACCAGATCACAACCCCCGTCAATCCCGAAACGTCTGACAAGTCAGTTTGTGCCATGCCGTCTGTCTATTTCGCCAGCAGCCATGCAAGTTTCTTGAAGCTGCTCACCAAGCCGTGGTAGGATCGGCACTGGTCTGCCTTGCCCACCGCCTGTGATCAATAATGGCGGTGGTGAGCTGGAAACGGGGGAGGGGGGGTAATGATCGCGGCGCGGCGACCTGTTGCTTGCATGAATATTTCCATCCACACCTCGCCGTCTTGTTTCCAGACACCGGCTACCCTGTTCTACATGTTAACCGACAGACAGTTGATGTCATGTCTGACATGTCTGCAGAGAATGATTGATTCTTTGTATATTTAACTGTCTTTGCAAACTCATGGGTCATAAGGCGTCGAACTGTACGATGGAGGCGTATTGGAAACTATGCTGAAGGACGCGGCCACGGCCACGGTGTGTTTTAAGGCAGACCGTGTCCCAGCATTTTTATAGAGAGATGGAAGAAACGAATCACAATTGCATCCCGAGACTAACTTATCCATGGATGTCCAGTGTTCGGTGTAGAAGAGTAATAAGTGTAAACAGCTGTTAGGCCTTTCTGCTACTGCACGTATAGATTAAGATTGGGCGCTGAAGATGAAGTGGCAGGTGGACTGAGAAAACTGCACACGAGGCTCTCCGTAATTGCATTCTTCTCCAAACATTCTTGGAGTATTCAAATATAGGAGAACGAGATGGATAAAGAATGTAGCACGCACGAGGAACATTACAAAATTTTTAGGGATGCATCCCGTTGTGTGTTTAACGTTAGGTTGGCGGTACGTCCACACAATTATTTTTTATTGTAGTTTCAGTGTTTATATTAAGAATCCACCTTCTTAATTCTTAATAAACACTGAAACTAAAAAAAGAATTGTGTGACGGACTGAAAACCTAACCATTACAAAATGTTGATTAGGAAGTTCGAAAGGCCTAGGCTCAGATACGCGGATAATACTAAAATGGATGTTAAGGAAATATGGTGGCAGGCTGTGAACTGGGTTGATCTGGTTCAGAACAGGGACGGGCGGGCATTTGTGAACACAGTAAGCAACTTTCGGGTTCCATAAAAGGCAAGGAATTTCTTTACGAGCCGAGCTACCATCACTTTGTCAAGAAGGACTCTGATCCATGCATTTCCGTGTAATCTCCCCCCCACCCCCACCCAAATGACTTGTGTCTGTATCAGGGATCAAGGGTCGACCTCTGCGTCATATTTGCATTACCTCTAATCTCCTGGTCCAACTGCTGGTGAATATGACGTCATCAGACGCGGCTTATGTCTTCACAGTTCCGTCCAGATGCAGGCCAGTTGCAGCTTATTCACACATGTGACCTTTTGGTCAAAGTTTTCAAACTCTGAAGACCTGTAACCTAGACCTCGTACCCTGTCTGCAGTCCTGCAGCCCGTGGTTTGTGGTTTCTTCATTCCTTTCTAATTGAAAACTGGATCATGTCCACTCTCCTTCCAATTCAGAATGTGTGACTGAAGCCCGCCTTCGTCTTGTCAGACATCCAGAGTAGAAAAATCACCAAAAACTGCGGTC